GGTCTCCCATTCAGGTACTGACCAGGCTCACACCTGCTTAGCTTCTGTGGGTTGCCAGTTGTGAGTTGCAGAGTGATATGGCTGCTGGCTGCTTGTAGAATGTGTTTCTAAGGTTATTTAAAAACAGTATTTTTACCTATCTATGTATTGCTTATTTTCTTGACATTGTCCTCCTGATTTTTAATGTAATACTCAGAATCATAACTATATCCTTCTTATCACTTTACACCATGGATACTGTGAAACTATGGTACTGGGGCAAGCGGAATATGATTTGACTGACCTTATGTTGTTAACGCAGTCTTCGTGGGCTTCAACCAGAGTCTTGATGTGCTTTGAAGAAATGGGGTCAAACAAAAGGACTTCAGTCTGCTCGCAAGCTACAGTCAGGACGGACCTAGGAGAGAGAAGAAAGCATAGTCAAAAACACACCCCAGACTTCCCCCATTTTTCAAGGAGGTATAAGTTTGTCAAGCCAATGATCATGAGTCCTATCCTAGACACCATCACCTTTGTAGTTGTCCTTCTCTATGGTTTTGGGGAATGGTGTCATCCCCTGCTCTCTCATTTTCAAGAGCCAAAAGTGGGATCAGTGAATAACCAGAATCCTTACTGATCCATGTATACAACCCTGTCCCAGTTTTCCTCATCCCATCTGCTTTCCTGACATTTATCACTATGAATCCTCACATATAATAAACCAACAAATATTTTCTCTAGAGTTTCTGTAGAGCGTCGACTGAGTTTGCACATTTTAATGACAATTAACATGTGCAGATCAGCTATTATCATCCGTTTTTTTTTTCTTCCTGGTTAGTGCTTAAAAAACGTTTATTCCTTAACTTGCACAAGTATTCCGTCTTTCTGTGGTGTTCCATTTTGTAAAACTACAAACAAGATGTCTACACACTTTATGAACTCAGTATTGTATTCAAAACCCAAAGGCTCAAACTTGAAGGCCCAAAAGAGTAAGATAGGTTGCAGTATAAATCAGCAAAAAAAACTCAACACAGAAAACTGAAATATGTCAATCGCATAAATATTCTGAGTCCCTAGCTCAATATTTGATGGGAGCACTTCTGGCAGCGATTAAATCTGCAAATCCCTTTGGGGAAGCCTCTACCAACTTTGCACACTGGCTTAGTGCAATTTACTCCCCCATTCATCGTGGCAATTTTGCTCAAACTCTCACATTGCTAGGGGACTGCTGTAACAAATCACAGATTCTCAACAGGATTTAAGTCAGACTTTTGACGGGGCCTTTTTTTAAGGACAAGGACATGCACTTTCTTATTCCTAAGATATTCTGGTGTAGCTTTAGGTCATTTGCCTGCAGAAAGGTGAATTTCTGTCTTTGTATTAGGTCTGATGTAGGTTTCCCCCTCTAAGACTTGCTAGGACATTGCTCCATCTATGTCCCTATCAGTATCGACAGGCTTCCCAGGCCCTTCTGATGATAAACAGAGCTATAACCATGGTGCTTGAAAATAGGGGTGTCGTCAACTGAGTGATACATTATGTTGCGTATGCATCGGATATAGCTCTTTATTTATTGGGTCCAAAACAAAGATCAGTTCTAATCTTGTCTTCACCGACTACAAATGTTTTTTGCCACATGCGTTCAGTATCAATCAGGAGCTTTGTTGCAAACCCCATTTTTTCCATTTCCCCCCTGTGTAGGTTGACTGAGGTGCAGATGTGTGGTGCAACATTGTAAGTCGCTCTTGGCCTCATGGTGGAGTCCCTAACCAGTTTCCTTCTTGCCCACCTGCTAAGTGTGGAGAGACAAGATCCGTCAAACAATGTCTGGGTGCTTTCCATTTCTTAATGAACACCTTTGCCTTGCACAAAATTATTTTAAGGTGTTGGATTTTTTTTTATATATACGCTTCTTCTGTTCTGTGCCTTCATACAACTTTATCCCCAAGTCGTCCTGAAAGCTCCTTGGTCTTCAAGTTTAAATCTTTGACTGAAATTCACAACCTGACTGAAGGACCTCTGAAGAGAGTTAATAAGGTGCACAGGCAGGGAATTCTGAACACTTAAATTCATGCAGGTTTGCCAGAGCAAACTGAATAGTTATGCAATCATGACTCCCATTTTCCTTTCCAATTTATTTATTTTTTGCTTTGAATGTGTGGAGCAGGTTGTGTATATAATCAATATAAATTCCTATTTCAAAGCGTCATGACTGCAGCAAACATGAAAACTGTACAAGGCTCTGTACACTAATAACTTAATAGGTGAGCTCATTTAAGACCATAATTCTCTTAGTTGGAATACATTTTTGTTGATAAACCTGTAATACTAGAAGTCACATCGAATAAAGGTATTTCACCATCAAATCACATTACTCTCTATAACAGTTTATCCAACTTGGGGTCACCATGGCCCAGTGCTTATTGCAGGGAGCACTGGGCGCAAAGCAGGATACACCTGAATAGGACACTGATCCATCACAGGGCACACACAGACACAAACACATACACACATTCTCCCCACTGATAGCTGGTGTGTGGTGAGCATTCTGGAGCACTATGGCTGCCGTAGCACCATCATGGTGGGTGCCACACATTGGTGGTGGTGGAGGGGAGTCCCCATTACCTGTAAAGCGCTTTGAGTGGAGTGTCCAGAAAGGCCCAATATAAGTGTAAGGAATTATTTAACACATGCAGATCAGAGCCAATTTTCACACAACACAGTTAACCTACCAGTATGTTTGTGGACTGTGGGAGGAAACTGGAGCACATGGCAAACCCAGGGAGAAATGTCGTAAAAAATACATATTTTTTCACCGTTTGGTTTATAGAATAGCCACTACAGCACTTCTTGGGAAACTATGTCTTATATTATTCTACCCTGGTAGCTCTTATATTGCATTCCTCACTGTGATCTTTGCGATGACTGATTGGCCAACCCTGCATAGTAATTTAATCATTCACTGGTTTAAGTTAATAACAGATTTTCACCAGGGGAAAAACTGTCTCTTCTTTTATAACCTATCACAGATTTCTGTGCCATATCATGTATATATAGTATGGTGCTCTGCAATTAGGCCCGAGAAGAGCAACTGACTTAACCCCCAGATTCAAAGTTATGCCCTACACTGACTAACTTAACCTTTCTGGTCTTCAACAAAGAATACCACAAGGAGACTTGACTCATGTATTCAGAGGTTTTAAAGGCACTGATAAAATCTCTTTCTTCAGAATCAAACAAACCAAAGGGCACCGGCTGAAACTACATTAAGCATAACATGAAAACATTTAAAACTGATAGGATTTTTCACACAAAGGGATGTGGGAGCACAATACAACCCAACACTGTGGCTTCTTTCAAGAAACAGCTAAATGAGATTTGACATTTTTGTCAGCTAACAGCATCCAAAAGAGCTAAGTGGGCCAAACGATCCTCTGTTGTGTGTAGTTTTTCCTGTGTGTGTTCTGACAATGTTGAATGAGCTGTCAAGAACTCAGTTCCTTGTAGTTCCTTCGATCAATATCTCTTAAAATCACCATCCATGACATTCACTCTGTCACTACGTTTCTCCAATCACGTTTCGCATTTGGTACCAACTCTTGAACTCCCTAAGGTGTCAGGTTCGACAGATTCGTTGCCATTCATCCATCTCCTAGTCAATTTTATCCTACAGTGGGTTGTGGGGGAGCCTATCGCAGGAAGCAAAGTGTGCAAGGCAGGATACACTCTGGATAGAAGAGCAGTCCATCATAGGGCAGACACGGACATACTTGCACCAGGGAGTTTTCCAAGAAGTCAATTAACCTACCAGTATGCTTTTGATTTGTTGAACGAAACCCAAATTACCATAGGTCAAATATATAAACTCAATGCACAGATATCACCCCAAATTTCCGAATTTAACCCAGGCCTCCACTACTGCACTTCCATACCGCCTCACTCAGATCTTACTTTAGGCAATGTCGTAATTAAAAATGAGGACTGCCAACGACTCCCAAGTACTTTTAAAAACAACAATAACTTCTGTTTGAATAAATGCTTATTATAATATCAAGTTTTATAAACATTAATGGAAAAGACACAGGGAACTCATTAATATTGCACCCACTACGCGTGGGAAACCCATTTAAACCCTTAATGCAGCTCGGTTTTAAATATCATTTATATATTTATCTATAACTGCTTGATAAGGACCTTCATGTAAACACTGCAATTAAAATAGACAAACTACAGACGTGTACAGTGATTTATTCACGTGTGCAACTGGGCTCCAACACATTTTAGAAACGTGTTCCAAGTTTTTTCTTCATTATTGCGCGAATGGCTGGCAGATTCGTTGCAGCTGTTGTATAGTATAACGTGCAACACTAAAAATGGCGCAGAAGAGAATTCGAGTATTTGTTTTAATAAATGCAGTACTCGGCACCTATAACTCAGAGGGCCTAGCGATGTCACGCATATTTTTGGAAATAACACCATGCCCTCTTTAGCGAAGAGAAACTGAATGGGAAGGCTTATTCTTTCCTTTTCCGTTAAAAAAGGTATCGACTCGTGAAATAAAACCTTAGAGCAGTCGGTCACATTAAATACATATGATTGAGGCTTCTGCTTAAGTCCACTCTACGACAAATGAATGCACGTCGTTAATTGACTGATTACGACGGAAAAGAGACTTAACGGATGATAAGAGAATTGAACTGGATAATGACAGCCATTATAAAAGCAGTCGCCAGACCTGAAATTACTAACAAAAAAAAGTCATCAAAAGTGATTTTTCTCGTGATCGCGTATGCGTGGTAGTCAAAACGTTTCGCACTACTAAGTTTGATCGTGAACAGCAACGTTAACCACACCTGATCTGGCTATGAGCCTCAGGTGCACGGGTGTTATTTCTGAATGTGGAAAAGCATTTCAGGGCTATGGACTCGCACACGCACAAAAAAAAAATAATAATCATAGTGCATTTTAACAGATCCACCGCTACAAGTAGGAGTTGCAGGCTTCGTCTTACCCATCGGGCGAGTACTCCAAGTTAAACACTGCCCCGTGCGTCCTGGTGCTCAGGTTGACGGAGTCCGCTGGGTTCATGGAGCTGTACAAGCTCGTCATGGTCCTGAAGTTATCCCGGGCCGGGTCCACGTAGGCTCCTCGACCCAGGCATCTCTCTCGGAGCGACCAAAACACGTTGCTACCGCTGCTGCTGGGCGACCCGGCTGTCCGGGGGCAGGAAGAGCTACCTGGCTGCGGGGATTGCTTTTCTCCGGACTCGGCTCTTGAGCTCCGCCGGTGTCGCCTGAGCTGCCCGGGAGCCCCCTCTACCTGCTCGTCGCCATCGGCGGGGCCTTCCCGTGCAGGAGCCTCGTCGCTAGGCCCGTCTAACCGGGACCGCTCGGCATCTTCGCTATCACTTTGGCGATCCGAGTTCATCGTGGGGGCGGGGGGTCTTCGGTTGGGTCAGCTGCGGTTTTCAGAGGGAAGGGAGGAGGAGATGTCGGCGTTCGTGACTGCGGTTTCCCCCCGCCAACAGGCTCCAGCTCCCGCTCCCCCTCTGCTTACTCTATCCCAGTGAAACCGACGCCGAGCCCGGGGTTCGCATTACGGAGGACCCGAAAAAACCGGCGCCGTCTACCCCGCAAGCAAAAAAACAATCCCAAAGAGTCTCGGTGTACGTAATTTCCGTTTCCTTTCCCAATGCATCTGCCAAAACACTCCCGACTGACAACAAAAACTTGTTTCACCAATGTAGACCAGAAAGAAAACGCACATTCGTAGGGTCTTAAACGCAGCTCAAGAAGGGTCTGTCTTCTGCTTTTGTTCCAACCTGAGCAGTCAATTAAACAATTAACCTCTTCTTATTTATGCAAATATAGGCTTTTTCATGTCTTTTGGTGTAGTTGATTACTTGAAACATACACTTCATTAAATGTAGTTACCTTGAGAAGATCCCGGTTTACAGTATTACAATGATTCAGTTAGAGAAACACATCAGAGATCTAGGTAGAACAAAAACCAAATACCCCCCCCCTGCTATCCCGGTTAGGTTAATCGGTTCATCCCGGTTAGGATTATCAAGAATTCACGACAAGAGGACCAAGTTATAGAATTTGAAGACATTCTAGATAGTGAGTTAATTTACTATACAGCGCTTTAATTCAGTCTGAATTGTTGCAGCACATAACTTGCCAATTTACGAAAATATATCACCATGACAACATTTTGGTAAATTTATGTAAATATCTTCTTGTTTCCTATTATTTTATTTTTAATAAACTGTTGAGAGAAAAAATGTTTTGAGAATGCAATGAAGCGTTTCATGACAGACTCAATACCGATTAAATAATGAGACCAATAATTTAAAATTCAGATCTACAAAGCCATAGCATACTTTTTGAAATGGAATAATATTCCTTGTGAAAATGTATAACATCCCACATGTGCCTAACCTAACTTTACTTCAAGGTTTTGCTTTGTCAAGCATGACTCTTGATCTGCTAGCGGTTTTGGGTTTGCCGTTAAGTATTTATTACGCAAAAGGGGCCGGTTTACTGATAGCACTCGCATCACCATCCCCACTGTTCAGCCAGTTACCAGGATTTTCAATCCATTGTTGCAATTCACAATGACTAAGCACCGGTGCTCTCTTTCATACATGTATAGTGCAGAGCATGTCCCTCCCACTTTTTTTTTAAATAAGTAATGGGTCTGCTAGCTTCCTGGACATGGCCATAATACAGTTTCCGCGACTCACTACGGTGCTTTTCACATTCCAGCGGACGCTGTCTTTCTCTCGCAGGCGTAGAGTTTACAATCTGTATTGTAGGACCATGGCATCCAACTCGTCTTCCCCGACCCGGTTCGACTTTCTAGTGATCGGCGGCGGTTCTGGGGGGTTAGCGAGCGCTCGGAGAGCAGCTGAGCTCGGCGCCACCGCTGCGGTGATCGAGAGCCACAGACTCGGAGGTACCTGCGTGAGTAAACACCTTTCTGGTAGCCGGTTAAATACGGTTTTGGTTTTAGACGGTTGAGTCTACAGTACGTCTTTTCTAGCTGCTGCATAAGTAAAGCTCTGACCTAACGCATTGCTTGTGGCGGTTATTACTGCAGGTTGCACTGCCAATTCTTGGCAATTACTCGGGTATTCCCCTTAGTGTAGTTAGTCTGTACAATGAATGCATTTCTGGAAATAATTAACTTTACCTACTGTTTATTTGTGCTAGAGTATAGGCACTTACATTCCAACTATATCGATGTAGTGGTCTCAATTCTAATTAGTACGGAAAAGTAGTTAAAAGCACAATGCATTTTCAAGAAATTCACGTTTTAGCCGTTAGCGTTGGAAAGGAAGTGAATACATTCTAACCCATTTGTCATTGCTCTGTTATGACATTATGTGTAATCCAACATAGAGATTACTCACAATCATACATTCTGTAACTTTACAGGTAACATTGCAGTACATATTTCTGAAATTATTAATATTAATAACTAACCAGTTTTCATTTCCATCTCATATATTCAGATGATTATTTAATTAATATGTATCTGTAAGTAACACCACCTCAATTTTGTGAGAGCTCATATTGGGCTCCTATTGTATTTGCCTTACACACAATGTTCCCTTTGTTCTGTTCTTACTTGGTCCAGACAGCGCCTGCTGTGGTTTACCTGGCTGCCCAAGCTGTTTATACATTACATACTGAGCAGCTGGCTGCCACCCAGTCCACCTTTCAGAGCCTGACTTCTCTGTGTATCTTTGATATCTCTCATATCACCTTTCCTTGTAGTGTTTTCACCCATGTTATTGGGTATCCATTCATACTACACAGTGAGTCCGAGGCAAGAAAAAACACGTTTTTCTTAAAAATGCATTTTTCTTATATTCTTTTATCTTCATTTAAAGCTTTCTGCAGCTCAAACCTTATTATATTCCAGTGGGGGGAAAAAGAGAATTGGCAATATAATATAAGATCACTTGATTGGCCATATACAATTTTCTTTTATTAGGAATTTGTCTTTTCGCATACCCTAACTTGCTCTCCATGAGACACATACAGGGAGAGACGCTTGGGGTCAGAGAGCAGCACCCCTGGAGCAGCTGGGGTTAAGGGCCTTGCTCAGGGGCCCAACAGAGTAGGATTCCCCTGCTGGCTGAGGGATCACACTTGTATGAGCACCTTTGATGTATAAACAAACACCAGTTTAAATTAATTTAATTTCAGTATCAAGGAAGTAAACTGAAGGGTTAAGTTCTAAAACGTATACAATTACTTTTAAAAATAGGTGAACTTGAGGATAATACTATTGGGGAAATACACTGTTTCACACATATAACTTTCCAGGTAGAGAAGTATTGCTGTCATTTCATTATGCTCACAGAATTATCCATCCATTTTCCAGCTGCTTTATCCAGTATAGGGTGGCAGGGGCGCAAGACAGGATACACTCTGGACAGGACGCCTGTCCTCCGCTGGGCACACACCGATGCAGACAGATACGCACAGACTCACAACAGGGCCAGTTTTCTATCCCAGAAGCTAGTTAGCCTAGCAGTATGTCTTGGGACTGTGAGAGAATATTCCTTAATGTATATGGATCTTAAAGTACATTTATTATCTCCTGGCCGTGATTCAGTGAAGTGACTCATTAGATACTTTTGTCACTTTTTCTTGGCTAAAATTGTCTTTATGTCTCTCCTTGTAGGTTAATGTTGGCTGTGTACCAAAAAAGGTAAGACCTTCAAAAAATGATTTTTTAGCACCAGAAGCACTCTTTTTGTAAATACTGTAAAGAAACAACAATGAAAATGGGCCATTTATAGGAGTTAAATATCAAATACCGATATCCCTATTTATCACTGTCTAGTTTGTTTCAAAATAATACTACTATTATCCTTTTGCTTAGTAGTGTTTTATGAGTTCTTTTAAGTGTTAGAAATTTCAGATACCTATATGTGTCATACATTCGTTATCCTGGCTAGTTCAGTTGGTAGACAAGGAGGCTCGTTAAACAACTTTATGCAGGGGCCTATTTATTAACTATCAAATAGCAGACTTGGCAGAATGGCATTTTCTCATTTGTAACCTTTTTTACATTTTTATTTATTATTTACTATTATTTTACATGGTGATCATGGGAATTTCCTTCTCTAAGATGTATTTTCCTGTGCTCTGTGGGTGAATCAATACAGTTGATCTTTGTGAGGTTAAGTAATTCAAATATTGATCAAATTAGCAGTTGCTAATACTTTAACTTTATGACCTTTAGAGGTACAAAGAAGTGAAATGTATGCAGAGCTGAATCCACACTATAGGATAAGTGAGGAACCATTCTTTCAAGTTATTGCTTCACCTGCTAAAGAACTAGATGTTCCTTTCTTGTACTTAATGTAATTCATTTCTGTTCCTTTCAATATTTGTGCAAAGATGTCCGTCGATAGCAGTGTTTCTTGATGTTAGTGGTTGTATTCTTTTAGCTGATCTAGAAAATAAGGATTGCCATAATGTTTAAAAGCAAACTGCAAGTCCCAGTTTCTTAGACCCATTGTTAAATGAATTAATTCACATTCTAGAAGACTTCTACAAATTTCGAATTAAGCACAAAACCGTGAACTTTGTGAAAATACCGTAAGTCGCCATGTTGTCGCAAACCCCTGGTCTCGCCACGTACGAGAGCAGAATTTTTGCCAGAATTGCGACGTGAGGCGGCCCCTCCTGCTCACTAGTCACTGTAATGATTTATTTAATGTGATGTACGAGAGAATAAGTATGGGTTGTGCATCAGGCATTTCACCACAGAAATGTTCCAACGTGATCTGCATGCAGAGTTAACAAGTAAGTTGGATTTGTCAGCAAAAAAGTCTCAAAGTCAAGAGCAATATTTCTGTTGAGTTAACAGAGATGTATTCACAAGCCTGCTTGTTTGCAATGTAATAAGGCCACCTCACTTCACGGGAAGTTTCGTTGCCTTGTCTGAATCACAGAATATGGAGCTGCACATACCTGGAAATTTCATATATTTTTTTTAGTCTACATGGGAAGGTTTTCAAGTTACTGTGTGCATTTTACTTTTTTGTGGTTTGAAATGCACTCTGAATCTGATGTTCTTATTCTGAAATCTAAAAATAGCATTGCAGTTCCCCTTTAAGCAGCAAAACACAAACCAGAGGATACAAAACAAGCTATGTGGAAGTGTACTTAAAACTGAGAACAGAAGACACTTCTTTAGGCAAAGCATTGTGGGGATACAGAATGAGTTATTGGATCTGTTATTGAAGTCTGTAACCTGGTTTCTTATAAGAAGCGAGTGGTTGAGACCCTTGGATTAATGAGCTGCTGCATAGTACATACAGAAGTATTATCAAATCTCAGTTTAAAAAACAGGTTAAAGGTTATGGCAATCAACAGAACATAATGCTAAGAAAAATGGCTTATAAAATGAAGTGTCGAGTGGCTGTTTTAATAATAGCCATTATTTGGAGTTGGGATAATGTTAACTAGGTGCAGAGATGGTTACTTTCTAAGGTGTGGAAAACGATGTTCAAAGAATAAATGTAACCATTGTTGTCTCTTATTGTTCTGCCTTAAAAGCTCTCTCTTTTCCAATAGGGTCAGACCTGTGTTGTTTTGAGGCACTGTGGGGGTTAATGATGGCCTGAGTGAGTTTATTTCTTCCAGGTAATGTGGAACACAGCTGTTCATGCTGAATACCTCCATGATCATGCTGACTATGGGTTCCAGGGCAGTGATTTAACATTCAGTTGGCGGTAAGGTAAACATTTCTTAGGTTCTGGGCTAGATGAGTTTTGGTTTGTGTTTATCATTCATGTTTATCAAGTGTAAACATTCACTCTTGGTCTATTTTAATTATTGAAAGTAACTGGAATTCACTGTTGGTAGCATGTGATTTTTGTATAGTATAATTGTTGTTGCATTACCTCTTTTAGTAGGGCTGGAAATAGTGCTGCTAGATGATTCTCTGCTTGTGGCCTTTTTGATTATCTGTTTTTTTTCCCACTGCTACAAAGCATTTTGTTGTTCTGGCCAATATTCAAGGACATAGTTCAAGACATACCTTCCTTTTGTTTTAAAGCAAAGAAATCCATTCTGTTTTTTTTCATTTGCCATGCCATTCTGCAGATAACGGAATATCTATCTAGGATGAGAAAGGGGCAGTCACTGAAAGCAGCATACTAACTAGGGATAATCATGTGGTTAATATGCAGCTTTGTACTAAGCTAGTAGTCTAGGTAAATACCAATTGCAGCGAACTTGGCTGCTGAGATTGGTCCCTAGCTCTGTACAAAAAAATCTCAAAGTAACAGCTGCTGCCCTCTAGAGGATACTAATGTATGGGACTAAGTACAACTATTGCTAGTATAGACTAATTTACAGTACTAAGCAGAACACTGGATCACATGTTAATACATAATGATTTTAGCATTCACAACACAATAAACCATACATCTCATTATTTAATCACAAAGGAAGGTATTACACTTCCTTATTACAAAATAGTATTATTACACTTACTAATGCATAGAGAGCATATGGTCTGCAATGAGTTGTGACATACATTGTATATTGAGATAAATGGAGGGAAGCTAACTGAAATCAAGGCAAATACAGACAGTGTGCTCTTAATTGTGTTTTGTCACATTTGAGTGTCTCTTGAGTCAATTTGTTCAATTATTTATATTGATTGGATTCCGCATGGTGGTTAGCATCTCTGCCTCGCAATACTGGGGCCCTGGGTTCAATTCTGGATCTGGGTGGCTATCTGTGTGGAGTTTGTATGTTCTCCCTGTGTTCACATGGGTTTTCTCTAGGTGCTCCTCCAGCATTCCAAAGACTTACTGGTTAGCTTAATTGGCTTCTGGGAAACCTGGCCTGGTGTATGTGTGTGTCCTGTGATGGACTGGCATCCTATCCAGGGTTTATCAGCAACTGGAGAAATTCCTGAGATGGTACCCACTAGCTAGTGCACCATTAAGTACACAATTCAGTACTAAGTCCACATGTTGACCCAGTGTGTTTACACATGTTGTGTTTACAAATGTGCTGTTTATCTACAGTACTTTAATGTAAATATCAGAGGTGTGGTATAGATATCTGAGCCCTTTCTGCACTTTCAGGAAGGTGGCAATTAGATCATTTGCAGCTCATAGCACCCAACATACAGTAATAGATTTCTGTTTATGCTAACTTACAGAGCTGGTGTGTTACAGAACATTTTGTTGTTTCCCGTAACTTGTGATTCGCCTTTCATACATCCTGTCCTTAATCTTAACATGTCACCAAAAAACACTAATACACTGCTGTTGTATTCATCTGATTTGTCTTGGATGAGTGAGGAATTGATAAATGATGAAATAAGGGACAGAAAACAAAACAATTAGCTGAGTGTTTACTTAACCCTGTAAGGTTCCCAGAAGGTAAATGTGTGGGTTAAACTCTTAAGTCTGACAACTGAAAAGGATATCTTGTCTTATCTAACAGGCTTCTTTTACCTTTTACAAATTAATGTGCTCGGCACAACCCATAGAAAGCACACCCACAAGATGGTAAACACCTTATACTGTTTTATTAAGCAACATTATTGTTTTTGCCTTTCAGACTAATTAAAGAGAAGAGAGATGCATATGTTAGTCGACTGAATGATATTTATCAAAATAATTTAAACAAGGTAAGCTCTTCATTTCATGTTTGTTTAGTCTGGAACTGTATGACATAGGGATGTGTTCCTTAATTTAACAGTACACCCTAACACAGTTGTTTAACAGATTAATATTTCATCCCTTTCGTTCTAATCAGGACTGTCCCCATTATGCACAGGTATGAACATTTCTTAAATCGTGAAAGTTCCTGTAATGGACATATTTTTTGTATCTTGTCATTTTATTTTCTGTAAATTGTATGATAAGCTATCCATTGACAGGTAGGCAGTGTTTATTCCTATTACAGTATGAAAAGGTGAAAGCTGCTTTTCAAAAATTAACAGAAAAGGCAAGGTCTCCATTTTTTCCCTCCCCAGCAGGAATATGCCACAAATTTAAAATAATAATCCAGCGTGTTCTCTGTCGCTTTATTTTGCCCGCCTCTGTTGGTTATAGTGCTGATAGCTCAGCTAACTTTCTGCACTGCACCAAGCGCTGGGTATTGTGCTCTCATCAGGATTATTCCACTGACCGAAGCTGTTTACTCAATATTTTAATATGGTTACTGAAAAGCTTTATTTAAGAATACAGTCCAATCAGGATGTTGTTTATATACTATAGTTCAGTTCTACATTATTTGTTAATAACAAAGGCAGGGTTTGTTATTTGTGGGTTTATGTATATGTGGGTATGCTACAATAAAATATTTTAATCACTAGTATTGCCTTCCATTTTCTAAATTAACTTATACTTAAAATCTTGTACTTATCTAAAAAATGTTACCTATTTTCTAAATATATATCACACATAAAAATTAATATAGATTTACAGTGCACAACATAAAGAGATTTATGAGTAATATAAGTAATAATTTCGTTAGTCTGTTTTACTTGTGGTTAATTGATTACTGTTAGCTACCAGACAGGAACAAATGTGAAACACGAAACATCTTTTTAATGCAGAATTTCACATGGGTTTTATTTTGTGTGACATGCTTGCATTTGAAAGTGAAATATGGATGTGAAAAAATCGGCTTTGGTATACCTTTTTTTTTTGTTTATGTATTGAACTTGTTCCTGACAATCACAGAATTATGAAAACTACAGTTTCTGCATTCAGGCTTGTATACAAAAAGCTAGGCCTTAGACAATTTGGACAATTTCAGTTGTTTAACTACGGAACCCTGTAAATGAAACTATTTTACTGTTATTGTCTTATTTGCTTTTAATAGAGATGCATCTTGAACAGCTAACTGATCAAAAATAATCATCAATACCCAAACCCATCAGTCTTCCTTAAATCAGTAGGCCTTCTTCGTGTATGTTTTTTCTGTCTTCATGTTTGTTACTCTCCTTTTCATTCTCCTTTCTCCAACTTCTTCTATTTTTCTCAGTTGGGGATAAAAGAATGTTCAAGAAGTCTTACCTAATAAACTAAAGCATTTTTAGGCTTTAGTTTATTAGGTAAGTACACATCCTGTACACTGTACACATCCTGTGTACAGTACATGTCATGTCATGGGGAAGTTGCATCACTGACAATAAATGGTGAAAGAAAGGAACTAGCCCTGAAATTAAAGCAGTATATTGAATATCATGCACTCGATATCTGTCTTCATCTTAATGTTTCAAACTACATAATATCTTTAGCTACATATTTTATTCTTTATTCTTTCAGTCCATTGAGTAGGTCTAGCTTTGTATTTTCCTATCCATCTGTTTTCTAACCACTTCTAATTCAGGACTGCAGCAAACAGTGGGCACAAGGCAGGGTACACCTTGGGTGAGATGCCAGGGCATTGCAGGGCAGACCGACACAAAAACACACACACTCACACCAGATTTCCCAGAAGCCAATTACCAGTATGCTGTGGTAGGAAACTGTGAGAGGAAACTGGGGCACCTGGAGGAAACCCACACAAACCCGGGGAGAACATACAAACTCCACCCAGACAGCACCTCAGGTCCAGAATTGAACAAAAGACCCCAGCAGTGCGAGGCGGCGATGCTAACCACTGTAGCACTGTGCCGCCCTGTACCTTTCCCATATTTAGCTAAATCCATGATGGGGAAACAAGAAAATTGCTTTTCATGTGTTTAACATCCTGAGTCTTTGGAGCAGTGTGGTCACTCACCATGGAACGAATAGGAAGAGGTTTATTTTACATTATGGGTCACTTATATCAGCTTACCCAAGTCACGTGCGTATTAAGTCACCATGGGAAGAGGACTGTCTACCTTTCCTTTGTTTTCTCCAAGCAGTACAGGAGTAATTACTGTGTGTAGATTTGTGTTGATGACAAATCTACACACACACCAATGTAGAGCCATGCAGCCAAATTGCCATCAATCACTGCAAATGGAGCTTTGTAGCGCTTCTGCCCAGAACATAACACTTGGAACTCCCCATAAATCTTTGGGAGATGTCATGACTCATGACAGATCTATCATTGATAACATTTTGCTAGGTTAGAAAAGGCTGGCTGTGAACACCCCAGAAAGTGAGCAACAGTGAACCGACTTAGTCCAGCCTTTTTCATACTAATGACCCCAGCATATTGTTCTCTTGACATTTTGTTTCCTTTCTGTCTTTTTCTTTCTTGATTTTCACCAGGCTTGACATACACAGCCGGCTAGCTCATCTCCTCACCAGTGCCCACTCAACACTCTCTCTAACGTCGTGATTTAGGGCTTATGTAGCATTCGGTGACGGTCAAATGTCGTGGTCAGTTGTAAATGCCTTTAATCAATTTCCAAAATCCCTGTACTTTTCTAAAAACAGAGAACAGCTTCTTTTGATGCTCATTTTAATAGTAGAACACCATAGTGATTAAATTGGCCCTGTATCTTATTGACTTTGTAACAGTGTAGCTAAAGGGTTGATACAATACCTCAAGAGGAAGTAGAGAGCCGGTGTGTAGTCACCGAAAATTAGGTCTCTCTTTTAAGATGAGAAAAGGGGGGGAGGCATAAAACTCGAGAGGAAAAATATTAGAAAAATTCTCCAAGTGTTTAAAAATGTTAAGAGAGAGCCTTAGCTATGAAGCCAATGACATAGTTCTAGGACAAACAAACAGCAGTCGGGTGAGAATGTAATATAGGCCTCTTAATTAGCAGCTCAGGTGGTGCTGATGAGACATTCTCACATGACATGACAAGGGGAGAGAGGAACAATTAGGATGTGGTGTGGTGCTGTTAGGTGGTGTTGTTAGGAGATGTGGTAACTCAGGCGGCAAGGGCATCTAGCTCCAGACTGGAAGGTCCTGCGTTCAATCCCAGGTAGGGGCAAGTGGTGTAGCTTGCTCTAATTCCTTCCAGACAACTCCCTGGTCCACTCAGCCTGCTTTCTAAAGGAGTACCAGGGGTTAATCCTTCTGGGGGTAATTGGCCAGCAGGAGCGTGATGCTGACCACATCACCTCCACTTCCAGTGTCGGATGTTCAAGAAAAGCAGTGGTCCTTGCCCCCCATTCCCCAGTGGGCCTTTATGGCCTGAAAAGGGACCTGCTTACTTACTTGGTGGTGTTCGGGGCCCTCTAGTGGTGAACAGGGGAAGATTCCTTCCACTCGTCACAATTGTTTAATTAGGTGTGGCTTATTTTGCGTGCTTTTGCTCTTGCCCTCAAACAGGCCGAGATCGAGACTATCCGTGGCCACGCGGCATTCCTCTCGGACCCCGAGCTCACGGTGGAGGTCAATGGGAAGAAGTACATAGCTCGGCACATTCTCATTGCCACTGGTGGCCGTCCTTCTATGCCCAGCGAAAAGAACGTGCCTGGTAAAGCCCCCCATCAGCTTTTTTATAAAACCAGTACTCCTACCGTCAGAAGAGGCTGAATGTGGGACTCCTGAGAGCCAGTGGAGGCACTGAGGTTGAGCCCAGATGATACAGGTTTGAGCCTGGGTCATGGCACCAGCTCTCTGTCATCAGGATTCCCCAAGTAGAAACATAAAGAAACATCAAAAATAACTTAATTCCACCTGGGAATTAAAATGATTAAATAATTGCATTTTTTGAGAAAAGAAAAGCCTTGAACTGCAAGCTCATTACTCCATTGTGCAGTCAGTTTTGAACTTACTTTGAAGTTACCCACACATATGTATAAACACAAATATAATGACATGTATTACATTGCTTTCTAAATGGATTACAAATGGTGTTAATTCTTTGTATTTATTGTTATAATTATTTTGTTTTGGTTTCAGGTGCAAGTCTTGGCATAACCAGTGATGGTTTTTTTGAGCTGGAGACCTTGCCAAGGTAAACCAACATGAAGGACCATCTTGGCTACTAAATCTACTGTCTGAGGGACTCAGTAGTGATCATAAAGGGGGAGTTTGACCTGTAGGGTTTCTGCCTCAGATTACCTTAAATTAAGAGACGCTTTTTGCTAGACAATAGACATCATCCCCTAAGTCTCAGACTTCATTGGTTCATAAGCACAGTGAGTTAGAGCAGTGATGTTCACTCTTGGTCATGGATGGACACAGTCCAACAGGTATTGTACCAGGTGACTAATGATCACCAGTGATTAAAGTGATTGGTCTTTACAGACCAATTAAGTGAACAATTGATTCAACTAAAGTCTTTACGAGTCTAGAGTGAAATGAATAGCAGAAGACATAGTGGCTGTAGATTTGATTAATGGGGCAATCTAGATAACAAGTGCACACTTTTCTCAGTTATATGTCGGCTTCCCTGGTACATCCAAGCATTCGAAGCGATGTGGTTTACAACCATTTCTCTTGGTTTATATGAATTTGATGTTGTATTTTCAGGCGCAGTATGATCGTCGGCGCTGGTTATATCGCTGTGGAGATAGCAGGGATTCTGTCTGCACTGGGATCCAAAACCTCCATGATTATTCGACAAGGAAAGGTGACAGTTCTTCTAATATAATCCTTTCATTTGTTGTTTGCTTGTTTTAATCTAACCATTTTGGTTAGCTAAAAAAAGCACTCACTTTATCCTTTATGTGCAAAAGCTATTGAATAGTTTTTAAGTCTTTAGTTCTTTTAAAGCAGATTTTTGTTTTGTTTGTTTGCATGTACATCCATTCATTCTCAGTATTCCTCTTAATGGATAATTTCAGTTTCATGAGAAAGCTTAGATATGTTTTCTGGCTTCTGCATTGTGATTGAAGACTAGGCAGCTGACCAGCACTGGGATGGAAAAGTAATTTGTGACCACAGTTGGTGTCCTTTGTCAACCAAGCTAGCTGTCATATCCACGTATTTAAAAACCTTTTAAAAATGTTTCAAATGGACCACTGATGATTTAATCAATAACCAAGGTTTTTTTTAACTTAGCATTTGAAAGGTTGCTACAATACTCTTTAAACCCACAAGACCTAGAAGTATTGAAATACTGTTCCTGCTTGAAACAAAGATGGCTGCCTCTATGTATTATGTTACCATAGTGATCTCCATTTTACATTGTTGTTATTTGTGTAAACTCTGTTGTAATGTAGGTGCTGAGGAGCTTTGACTCTTTGATAAGTACAAATTGTACAAAAGAATTACAGAATGCCGGGATTGACTTGTGGAAATACACTCAGGTAAGTGCTGCGTACCTTTAGCATTGCGTAGTATTCTTTCTCAACAAGTTATATGAGTCACTTTACCTGCCATTTTAAACGTTATTTACGTTCAGATTACGTTTTAGTACGCTATTGGTTTTACCATTCACTGACATAAGAAAAACCGTTTGAGAGTTACATACTATAATCCAAATCACCTCAGAATGTAATACGTTGCCCTTTTGTTTTGCAAATAAAGTATGTATAAACAAGTAAAGGTTTGGTCTTAACAATGCATGTTGAATAAGCAAAAACAGTTTCATATATTCCAATCTCTATCTGCTTAACAGATAGGAACAGATGTGGCGCACATGCTCTGATCATCAGATAGTAACTTGATTGAGATGAAGAAAAGGTTCTTCACAATTAAGATTTATGCCCTTTTCCTGGTTTCTCTGTAGATCAAATCGGTGAGCAAAACCGAGAAGGGCTTAGAGGTCACTCTGGTCACCAAAGAACCAGACCAACAAGAGAAGATCAGCACCATACAGGAAGTGGACTGTCTGCTTTGGGCTATAGGACGTGAACCAAACACAGAGGGGCTCAACCTCAAGCAGCTGGTAAGAGCCTTGAATCTTTTCCTAAAGTCAGCTTGATACTGCTCCTTCCACATTTTCAGTCAGGTCATTTAGAAAGTCTTTTCAGGAGCATTATGCTGGAGTCCCTTCAGAAACAATTATGAACAACTGCAATACAATGTTGTAGGCTAAAAACAACTGTCTTGTTAAATTTCACAGCTACACTCAATGTGGAAGAAACCTGAGAAGTGTTTGCACCAGGGAATGAAAACGCTTTAATAGTTTTTAAAATGAGGGTCACTTATGTACAGATAACTCCATGTCCTCACCTTAATAAGCCCTGTGCTTTTTTTAAAGTGTTGGGGGTTCAAACACGTAATAAAAACTGCACCAGGTGCTCATTCAGGACAGGAGGCTGGAGGTACTGCATCCTGAGAATAGGAAAAGCAGTGTGGGGGTGTAGTCATTTCTTTCTGGACTTTTAACTGGAAGATTATGTGTTCAAAATCCCTGATGGGGCACTGCTGCTGTACCCCTGAGCACGTTACTTCACTTAGACTGCTCCAATAAAATTATCCAGCTTAGAAATTGGTAAAAATATTTTGCAAATGACTTTGGACAAAAGCAACGCACCAATTAATGACAAGTGGAATACAAGAATACCAAAATGAAAAGCCTTCCACTCTAAAGTTCTTTCAGTTTATCTTAAATTGCCTTTTTTTAAAACGTTCCGATTCCTCCTGCAGTCTTGAAATGGCTTATGAAAATTTAATATAAATGTGAAGTGAAAAACCTACAGTATATAACCTTATCCCTTTAGTTAGCTGCCGAAAACAAACAGTTGTGGTAACCCTGGGGCATAATAACTCAGGTAGGATCCTATTCTGATGTTCAGTTGTTAAATGCAGCACACATATTATTTGCTTTTTTCTGTAATCTTCCTAAATTACCTTTATTTTTGCCTTTCTGAGATTTTCTACTTTTATTTTATGTATTTTTGTGTTTTTTTTTATTATCGATCTTCGCTTGTCAGCCATTCTGGATGCTTAACACTTGAAAGATTACTATAATTGATCTTCCTTAATACTGTATTACAGAATCACTCAAACTGGAAGTTCCACCCAATTTTAGTTTTGATCATTTATCTAAAAAGTGATCACTTATTGCTTTTGTACCATCTGTGCTCTTCCATAACTTTGCACAGCTGTTTTGAGATGTAAATCACATGACAATATGCTATAAAAAATTAATAGTCGATGTTTCGCTTTTATTGACTTAAATTGTTCTTCCCTGCAAAGCAACAGACAGTAGGTTTCACAAATAGCCCTTTCTCTCAGGGTGTGCAGCAGGATGAGAAAGGCCACATTGTGGTGGATGAGTTCCAGAACACCAGCAGACAGGGCATCTATGCAGTTGGAGATGTCTGTGGAAAGGCTCTCCTCACACCAGGTACGTCTGGATACCCTACAGCCCCTGTAGCAATATTCAAAGCTGGCCAATCCTGCTTCTGGATAGCCATGATCCAGCAGGTGCATTAGGTCACCCTTAATCACCCTTTAATCAGTTAACATATGTGCTTATATAGTACATTATTATTATTTACCAGAGATGTTGAAAATTAGAATCTTGATGTAGACTTAAATCAGTTGTAACAATTCACCGTTCAAGGAATAGAAATGAGATGGGACTAAGAGGACTAATCTTGTCCTAGCTTGGGCTTTTTGTGCACTTTTTGTAAAGCAAAAAGTCTTAATTGTTTTTTAAATTGGGCTTGTCGGAACTAAAAATTGCTGTGTTACACTATGTTTTGGAGAACTCTATCACTTGTAAGAACTGTATAATTTTATCTTTTCGCAAATGTTCCAAAGCATGTTCTCATCGACTCATTGGTGGCTATTCATTTCCTGCTCCTTTCAACGCATTTTCTTTTAGAAACCCCTAAACATTTTACCAAAGAGTAATGTTTTGTTGTTTCATCAGTTGCTATTGCAGCTGGTAGGAAACTGGCACACAGGCTGTTTGAAGGAAAGAAGGATTCAAAATTGGACTACAGCAACATTCCTACTGTGGTGTTCAGTCACCCTCCAATAGGAACTGTTGGAATGACAGAAGGTAGGTGCTTGTTTGCAATATAGAGACTTCATTCAGAATTATGAAGCTTTGCTTTTGTGCCATGTCTGGTTGCAGTCCAATCTAATATTTTGTATTTTGCATCACACTTACAAAAATCACACAGAAACAAAATCTGTATTTGTTTTCGGAAATGTTTCAGAGAAAAAGAGGCTGCCTGCCATTGCATAGCAGTTTGACTGTTAAAGGTTTTAGAAGACTCTGAACTAGGAACATGTGTTGGATATTTCAATTGTATTACCTTATTTTTAGTTAAATCATGTGGGGACATATATTATTCATTTGTTTTCATCAAAACACATGGCGTCTCTGCATCATCGTTGCAGAGTGTGCCAGAGCCTGGATCCCATTGCTCTGCAAAAAGAATCCGGATTCCTTATAAGAAAAATGGTCATCCCGGGATGTTTCATTTTAAAGGAAATTAACAAAGATCAGTGAACTCAAATATATTAATCTTCTCTTGAAGGGACTTGTAATACTATTAAAATTGATTAATTCAGCTCTTTCTTTTCTGTGATTTTAACTTTATTGCTTTTAAAGCAGAATCACTTTTCCTGTTAGCATAGTGCCCCAAATGTGCATCTGTGGGTCAGAAGACAGAAATAACACCAGCATTTGTGACCGGCATGTTTTACCTTCTCACTTGCCATGCCCCTCGGCAGGCCACACAACAGTAACAGCTTGTTCGCTGCAGTAGGAGCTAAACTAAGAGCCCTTTGTTGCAGAGGAAGCGGTGACTGCCCACGGGAGAGACAACATAAAGACGTACAGCACTTCTTTCACTCCCATGTACCATGCGATGACCACGAGGAAAACCCAGTGCGTCATGAAGCTGGTGTGCGTTGGGAAAGAGGAGAAGGTAGGACTTGAGGGCCCGACTGCTCTTTGGGCCACTCCATACATCCCTTTTTCTGCTCTTTTTTCCATTCGTTCAGATGCTCCTGAAATTATTCTTTTCCCCTCACTCTTTTTCAGTTTCCTGAGTTTGACTTTAATTGAATATACAAACTCTTACCTTCAGCTTGGATACAATTTAGAGTTGCTGATGCTTTGTGTCTGCATCAAGCTAAACATCTGATCAACATGACTTCTGTCACAAAGAATTGCTATGTACATTTTATACATTTGTACATTTATTTCAAGCTCTTTTGCACTTAATAGCAGTTAAGCGGATCTGATCATGTTTTTAAAAAATTTAACACCGTCTTACAACCATGCTGAGTCACTGGGATCATTCAAGGAGACTCTTGTTCGTTGAGCAGACGAGCAGGACTGGCCGAAGGACTTCTTCTCCTTCATCAACACGTCCTCATGTTCGAATTGTCATTGCAGGTAGTGGGACTGCACATGCAGGGACTTGGATGCGATGAGATGCTGCAGGGCTTTGCTGTGGCAGTTAAGATGGGCGCCAGGAAAGCTGACTTTGACAACACTGTCGCCATTCACCCCACCTCCTCTGAGGAGCTTGTTACCTTGCGCTAGAGCACGGCTGCCCTTCTCAGGACTTGGGTCCCCATTTTCCTGTACCGCTAAAATGGGTGTCCTCGTTACCACTACCTGTGGAGCAGAATATTCCTTAATTTACAGTATGTTAGTGTTCTTTTTGCTGATGTCATTTACTGATGTATTAACTTGGGGGGGAAAAATGCAACCCTCTTATTTTTCCATGGTCTGTATGGAAAGCTTCGAAAGAGATGTTAAAAATGGAGCAGGACTAAAATTCCATCATCCTTCCATCACCTGTGAGGACCCCACTCGCGTTTTCAGAGTTCTCACCAGACAAGTAAATCAAGGCAATCACTCCTACCAAAGTCTTGCTATGAGATTAAGAACCATTGAACATAGTTATCAAAGTCAGTTTGTCATTTTAAAATATTCACAATATCCAGCATTTCTTTGTGTTGGATGAGGTCCCATTAGCTGCTGAAGAACATGGTGTAGTAACAAGAAAGTTTTAAGAAGAACCATTGAATGGAAGAAGAAAATATAACTGCACCTTTTAAAACAAGGTGGTGCCTTACCTAAATGCATACAATTACCTTTAGACCTGGAACACTGGTGGTCAGTTAATGTATGAAATGTTAAAAAAAATGAGTTACAATGAGCTTGCAAACATTTTAAGAACAGTTTTTCTTTTTACCAGGCAGAATGTCAAGACTTCAATCCAAGCAAATTGGACAGAATGTTCCATCCCATTCAGATAATCCAAATATTCCTAACAAACTGAAAAAGGAACCAATACGCTCATTATATTGTATTGATTTCTTTGCAGCATTTGCTGTCTGAATGCACAAATTCCCGTATTACTCTGGTGTTGATTAAACCCCATGCTTGCATGGCTTGCAGTGAAATATCTATTTCCATTGTAACTCTCACATGACATTCCCCATGTAATAGCAGTGGTGACATGCACAATCAGATTAGCTCACAGCACTTATACCTAATTTATTATGACACTTTATTTAGACTTATAACAAGTGTATTCCTGTTTTTTTGATATGGGTTTCTCCTTACAGATTTTTTTGTACAGCTTGAAGGTATTCTGTTATTTCTGTCCAAAACATTCTTATTCACTTACACTAATAATCTGTTGAACAGTGGGCGGACTATAAACAGCTAGGAATACATCAGCCCTACAGTTATGGATAGTGACATTGTCAGCATAAAGGTTTAAAGGTTTGGCTACTGAGGGGCTAGAAGCAAAATTCACTATTTTAGTCCATTATTGCATTTTTGCACATTATTTGGTAAGAAAAAAGTCCTATTACCATATAATGCACAGACATCTGTGCCTTATTATAAAGGTGCATATAGTGTTCTCTAAATGGTATAACAACACAGTTATACTTTTGTATAAAAGTGATATAAAACAAGCATGCCTGAAACCATTATTCATTTTGGGGTAGATCTTTTAATACAATTAAGAAAAATGCTTTCACAACATATCCCTTGAGTGAGGAGTGGGGCTGTCCTTAATCATGGCAGCAAAAACTGTTCTGTACACTTTGAGAACCTCCTGGGCTGAGGGTCTCTGGGAGGGGTCTCTATTTTTGCAAGCGGCATGCGTATCGAAGAGGTGAAAGTGGACCACATCGCTGCCCTCCACCTGCCCCAGCAGGAACCTCACCACATCAGGTATCTTCCAGATATCCGTCTTCTCGTCATAACCAGGCATGAGCCCGTCTGTGAACTGCAGCTCCTCCCCATGAGGCCACAGCTGCTCGGGGGCCACAAACTCGCCCAGGAGCTCTCGGGGGCCACACTTCGCCAGTATGTTGGCGTCATGGTCCACGAGAGGCAGAGCATCCAGGTCATTGGCCACCAGGTGGAAATCGGTGGTCAGGAGGTACTGGGACAAAGTCTTTCCCAGGTCATTGGAATCGCACATCACACGCACCCCCACGGGGCTGTTGTGCAGAAAAGCCTGGATTTCGACGTATTCTATCGCCAGCCGGAAGCGGTTCTGCCAGGTGTTGACATTGGAGTACTTTTCCAGGTTTAGCACGGCGTTGAGGTTGAGGAGGGACCCCAGTGGCTGGTACTCGGTGACGATGGCATGGTTGTCCAGACAGAAGCCCACCAAAGTGACCACATAGGGGCTCTGCAGGGCTTTTAGCATCTCTAGTCCATGTAGGAAGTCCTCCCGGTAATCCAGAGAAGATAACTTGGAGAGGGCGACTTTGTGACCCTTCCACTCTGACAAGAACACCTCGAGAAGAGACAGGAAGATTTTATTTGAGGGACACGTAGAAAAACACATTTGATTTTAGCAAACAATTCGTTTTCCCCTTTACTCTCTAATTTAGAAAAAGAACAATAAACCTCTTCAGTGTTTCAACCCTTGTAACAACAAAAAATGCACAAACATAAGAAAAGTCCTCACTGCTGTGATCTTAATCCACTGATACATCAACGGCTTCGAACAGGTGATGTCTGCCTTTGCCTGTGCTGTCACACGGTGATCATGGGGCCTTTACAAAATCAAGGGGCTCAAGGACAGAATTATTGCTTAGCAAACATGTAACCACTGTCCTACGTAACTGAAGCACGGCAGTACTCGGTACACAACTGAACTTTGACATTTCATTTTTAACTCGAAAGAAAATCTTCCTTGAGAAAAGACCTCAAAAAGGCAATAAAAGTTAATAAATCATTCCAGAAAAGGCTGAATGGAGATCCTTAGTTTCAAACTCTTGTAATTACACAATTTTACTTGGGTCTCTAATTACGGTAGTCAGAACGTGTGTAAGATATACTGAATTAAATTATCACAAATATAACTGCTTCAGTCATTTTGTTTTGTTTTTCCTTAACTTACAAACTACTATAGATGTATATTCACTCAGGCTGATGTAAAACCTGCAATTCTCAGTATTTGAACAAAGACACTCATCCCTGCTACACTCAAACCACAAAGAAGAAAAAGTTCTAATTACTCTTACTAGCTAAGCTATTTAGTAAAGCTATTTGCCAAGCTAGTTTTTTTTCCTAGTTTTGACTCGAACCATTAAGGTGCTAAAATTAAGAACATTGTATTTCATAGCTTTCCTGCCCCAACCCCTTATTATGAACTAATTTCTTTTACATTTTAATCCTGTGTTAAAACTGAAGAGCACATCATCGAGTCTCTTTCTACAGACACCCAGGTTAATCAATATTAAAGACTCAAACTACTCTATGCATCGGTTTTGTGCACGTTGTCAAAAAACAAAACTGAGCTAAAAAGGAGAAGCACACAAGAGGGCACAGTGAGTGAACCCCAGCTTGTGGGAGGGCCTCGGGCCCTACTCATTAAGAGAACAGGAAGCAGAGAACAGTGGCTCGTTCCTTGGGAAAAGAAAGGGAAGTGTCACCTGCTTGACCGCCCCTTGGCTGATCATCTTGAGCTTCCGCACTTCCTTGAGCACAGCCTCGCACTGAAGCCATGGCGAGCAGTTCCTCATGGCCCCTATCCTGAAGTGGCCAGGAGGGCAGTCCCCGTACAGGTGCTCATGCAGGTTGCTGCCCTGGTATAGTGAGTCCAGGTAGAGGTAGATGAGGACGTTGGCACACAGCAGAGCGCCAAGACAGATGAGCACCGCTGGCACCCCCCCATGAGAGCCGCCACCCTTGACCATGGTTTCATCTTCCTGTGCTGGAGGCCGAAACCTGCAGAGACATTCCACCACGTCAGCTACACTATGCATTTCGACGGCAGCAGCTGGAAGTCCTGCTTGTCTGTTGGATCACATTAACTAGGACATCCTATCCATCTCAGATCAACACACCTGACAAATCTAAGGGAAGCTTGCCCTGTGGTCTTGCAGGTCCTAATGCCCCAGTATAGTGACGAGGACACTATACTGTAAAAATGGCGCCATCCTTTGCATGAGACGTAAAACCGAGGTCCTCTATGTGGTCTCTGTGGTCATTTAAAATCCCAGAGTAGTGATGTTACCCCAGTGTTCTAGCCAAATATCCCTCTGGTCTTTACCAATCATGGCCTCCTAATGATCCCCATCTATGAACTGGCTTCATCACTCTGTTCTCCTATCCACTGATAGCTGATGTGTGGTGAGAGTACTGGAGCACTATGGCTGCTGTCACATTATCCAGGTGGGTGCTGCACATCGGTGGTGGAGCCCAAATCACCCGTATAGCGCTTGAAGTGTCCAGAAAAGCACAAGTGTAAGGATATTATTATTGTGAGATTATTATAAAACTGACCAAAACACAGAGCTACTCCTGTAAAATTCTTGCAGTGCTCTACTGACATGCTTAAAACACTATGAAATTGATTTTGGCATCCAGTGACCCTTCCTGAATGCATTTCTTCTTTTAATTCACAGTCATTCCAATCAACTAATTCTGTGTCAAAAAGATATGGTGTCTCAAAGAACAAAAGTAATGCTTTCCCTCCTGAATATTTGATTTTGAATACCTCAATACATGAGTGGCTAAAGTAAAAATCATTTTAGGAAGATCTGGTTAAAGTCACTTTACAAGAAGTAAATTAATTTAAAAGCCTGTGTTCAATGATATAGCATTAATACGTTTTAACATTGTTACAATATCTTATTCTCCATTGTACCTTCAGGGCCATTTTTTAAGAGTGAAAGAATGATACCTCAGTCAAAATACTCAGTAAACTCTGAATATCAGTGGTTTTCTTTTAAAAAAGAAGATTAAATGTGAGAACTCTGGAATAATAATCTTGACTGACATGAAATGATCCCAATTCCTTTGGCCTGCTGTGTTTGCCTGATATTCACGATATAAATCGTGCAAACGTTAGTTGATTTAATTGTTAGAACAAGTGTCAGCAACTGGAGATAACATATTAATCCGATTCTCTCTTTCGTTCTTTAAATACAGGGATCTACCGCTTTTGGGTGATTACGCCTATTATTATGAAAAAACGTACCTTTTACAGTTCAGAACGTTTTACGATACTATTAAACTAACACATTGTCAATCGAGATTAAAATGAAAAGCCAAATGTTTTAATTTCCACACCTGTGAAAGCATATTGAAGATGCGTAGCATATTACTAGACATTTAAGGCTGACACTGGGTGATTTACAGTGCCTGCAACTGAAATAAAAAGAAATCATTCAAAATTGTGTTCACATGAAGGGCGTACCCGTTTCCCTGAATTCTGTTCCCCCACAAAAACATTACAGAGCATAAGACACAGAAGACGTGCGATGCGAGTGGTTCTGATTTAGCACCGAAAATATGACAGCTTTATTTACACTGTGGTCAAAGAAACAAAAAAAATGTAATTAATTTGTTTTGAAAATTAAAAACATGTACATTTACTTACTTTCATGTAACTCAACGATCCTTGTCTTATAATGCTCTTTGTCTAATCCTAATCAAACAACGCTGTTACACTTTAAAATACCACCTTACTCACAACCTTACAACACCTACTACCCTCTCAACCGGATGCATTAGCCGGAAAAAAAAAAGGAAAGCGGAAAATACAGCCTCCCCAGATTCGTTTCATCGCCATCTACTGGACATTTCAAGACTAAACCACTCAACTTCTTAAATCCTATCGCTGTTAATAAATTCATTCATTCAAGGATTTCATTCTAAATTTTATTTTTAAATAATCATCCGTATATACACATTTTTGAGATAATGACATACTTGTGTTGAGTAGTTTTATCATAGTTTTACCAGTGAGCCATTTTACCACAAATATTGTTACTCCTTTTTACTGTGGAAAAAAAAAACAGTTAATATTAATTATACAGTGTAAATTATATTTCCTGAATGCCCAATATAGATGACTTTCATTCCCTTGTGGGTAATATCGTTGACCAAAGTAGAGTAACTGTTTGTATAGTTTTACTGTAACTGTAGCTACTAATACATTTACAGTAGTTTAACAGACCTTTCCCTTTCATAATCACTATTTTAATTACTCCAGTTCAAATCATGTATTTTTTTAGGTGAATCAGTTCCAATCAGGTATTATATCACTTTACTGTAGCATATTTACTGTAGATGTATGCAGTAGATTAATTTACATTTTTGTAAAATTTCTGGCTGTATTTAAGCTGTATTCAGTGTGGTAAGGAGGAACAAATTAATATTAATTGCTATAAATGTAGATGTTCTGGGGACTATGGTTTCTATTTTCTAACATACCTATTACATAATATTTTTATAGTTATTGGAAGTGGCAATGGAGGTGTCTAGGGGCAATGTTTAACACCTGGCTAATGAACACTTGCGGTTCTAGGAATCTTCAAAGTGAGAAAGGAGCTGAAGTGTTTACTTAGTTGTGCTGGGTGTGAGACATATTGAACAAAGGAGTTATCTAGTTTACATTGGTTAACTTAGTTCTGGGTAAATTATTCAGCGTTCAATAGTTGGGGAATGCAGGATAAAAACAGGTAGGGTCAGGCTTTAAAAATCCCAGAACATTTCTTGAAAACAGGAGGGGTATTAACCATGTGTCTTGGCCAAATCCTCCCATCCCCGGCCTTTACCAATCACAGCATCTTAATAATCTCCATCTATGAACTGGCTTCATCACTCCTTTCTCCTCTCCACTGATAGCTGATGTGCAGCGAGCAGATGGGCACACTTTGGCTGATGTTGCATCGTCCAGGTGGGTGCTGCACATTGGTGGTGGTGGTGGGGAGTCCCCATTACATGTACAATTTTAATTATTATAACTTCTTCTTCCTCTCACTGGATATTTTTCAGCAGTATCTTGTAAATCCAGATCTACTGGATCTACTTTACTCGAAGCACCTTACGAAGGATGTGTGCAGTGCCCATTCGTGTGATCTTCTGCACTTTGCCTGCTGATGGATGGCCTGGGAGCAACAAAAGGTTATTATCAAATCCCTTTTTTGAGTGTCCCTAATGACTGGCACAACTCTCGTCTCCACATTCCACATCCTGCTGATCTCAATTTGCAAGTGCTTGTACTTACTTCGTTTCTCCGTTTCTTTCATCATGATGTTCGAGTCGTCTGGAATGCCTATATTGTTCAGTAGGCATGTTTTCTCTTTCTTGTCATGCTGCACAATGTCAGGACGGTTTGCTATTATGATTATTATAATGGATGTCTGTAAGTCAGACTCCCCCCTAAAATGATGTACATATCACTGCACTACTTCCATAAGCCTAGCTGTGATCTGTGCAATCTGTGTCTTGGTGTCTGTGTGTGTACCCTTACTCCTTTTGCAGTCCTCGCAAAAAGAAAATCCATCCACCTATCATGTGGTTTGGATAGTTTCAGAATGGAAAAGCACAAGCCAGAAACTCACTCTCTCATCAGCAGGGTCCTCTTGTCAGCACGCCCGCCTCCATTTGGTGGTTTGAACCAAATCTTTGAGCTGACGTTCCCATTAAATGCGACCGAGAATACTCCAACCGGCGGGTTGCTCCGCTTGCTGTCGGGGAGAGAGGAGAACAAAGTAATGTAGCCAATTCATAGAGGGGGATTATTAGGAGGCATAGGAAATTTGGCTAGGACGCCGGGGTTACACCCCTACTCTTTTTGAGAAACACCCTGGGATTTTTAATGACCACAGAGAGTCAGGACCTCAGTTTTACGTCTCGTCCAAAAGATGGCACTTGTTTTCAGTATAGTGTCCCCGTCACTGTACTGGGGCATTAGGACCCACATGGACCACAGGGTGAGTGCCCCCTGCTGGCCTCACTAACACCTCTGCCAGCAGCAACCTTAGTTTTTCCCAGGAGATCTCCCATCCAGGTACTGACAAGGCTCACACCTGCTTAGCTTCAGTGGGCTGCCAATTGTAAGTTGCAGGGTGACATGGCTGCTGACAAGCCAGAAACTCACTACTTGTACAATAATAAGGACCTTGAAGAGGTAATCTACAGTAGTTGTCTTGGATGTTCATCTTGCAGTGAAGCCTGGGAGTGAGAATGCACTCAATTGCACACACATATAGAAGGATTTCAATGCAGATTATTAAACAAAATGGTGAGATCTGGATTATTTGAAGGGTCAGAATGTGTTAGGTCTTGTGGTGGAAGATGAGACTGTTACTATGACATGACTCCACAGGATTCCCAACAGCTGTCCAGTTCTTCTCATCAAGACCCCTGCCCTTTGTCCCTTGGGCCTACCTGAAAGATGATGGATTGAATCCTGGGTGTAACCACTCATGTCTGAATTGTGCTGTTATAGTATAGAAGGGGACAATTCACATACAGTATGCCACATTGTTGCTGCAGTCACTGTTATGTGAGCACACTATGTTTAGTTTGTACTCACAACATTGTTGTACTAATGTTTTGTATACCATGTTACAGCAAAAATGAGTCTTAACAGTGGGGAGTCATTTTGTGGGAGTTCTGTGATGTAGTGAATAAAGGGCAGACATGTGCCAAACAAGTCTGCTGCCCCTCTCTGCCTATCTGCAGCATAGCTCTTAATGTAAATCCCCAAGACTCCCAGTGGTCCAGCTCCTCTATATCAAAGGACTTTCTGATGTTGTGAGCTTGCATGCTGCTTGTCAGGGCTGTGAAGGTTGGGCTTTGGGACTCGCCTCAGAGAAGCCGATCAAGTCCCAGGTTCATCTGCGCACTCCGTACAGAACAACGGTGTGTCTAGACTGGTCCACAAGATGGTTAGATAACCCTCCATCTGTTGTTGAAGTATTGTTGACTATTGTTATAAGGTGGCAGATGCCTTGTAAAACCATTGCATTGATCTCCTAAAGCAGGTTGTGCAGAAGTAATTTGCCATGGATTACATTACACCATCTGGCATAGGAGCATTCAAAAATCCACTTCACATGGGCGAGCCAAAAGTGATCCCCCCAGCTATAGTCATACTATTTTTTTGCTGTTGAATTCCTGTCCCTATTCTTCTTCCTTAGACAGGACAGTCACTGTGAAATTATGCTGTATACTGTAACACAATAGGGGTTCAGGCAGGCGCCCACACCCCACACCGTCAGGGGCTTGAACCCAGGACTCCTGCGTCACTCAGCAGGGACCCAGCCCGGTGAGCCAAAGAGAGATCTCCCTACAGCCCGGTAGCTGTAGTCCTGCTATCACAGGGAAGGGCGGTGACGTCACCGCTCTGGTAAGCCGGCTCTTACACACCCTGATAGCCGTATGCATTACACTCTCTCCCGCTTAACTCGCCATCCCCGGCAAAGGGCTATCCCACCCCGCTCCTGACACCAATGTAATGCAACAGGGGTTGAGGCTGGCACCCTTACCAGATTAGGTCAGCCCCACACCAACAGTGGCTCGAACCCAGGACTCCCACATCACTCAGCAGGGACACAGCCCAGTAAGCCAAAGAGAGATCTCAGCCCAGGGGCTGTAGTCTTGCTATCACAGGGAAGGGCGACAACGTCACTGCTCTGGTAAGCCGGCTCTTACACACCCTGATGCCCGTATGCGTTACAATACTCTTCACAGATGGTGAAACACAAAGGCAAATGTGTAAATAAACCAGCAACCAGTTTCATTACTTGCAACTGAAACCTTTTGACAGAGTGCAAAGCAATCACTTCACGAATGGGTTTTTAAAAAACCTGTTCTACAGGTCCCACCCCAATGACTTGCACATTCTACATTGTCCAATCTCTAGTCACCAGTCGGACACTAAACTAAATGGTGCTTTAGATGACATGAATACTGCTCCATGGCAGTAGAAATGACAGGCAACAAGTCTCTTTGAGGGAGAACAAAGATGTACAATACAAAAATAAATTCTTCAGGCCTCATAGCTCTTCTCCACTTTTTATTCCTCCTTTGGAAACAGAAATGTTTTAAAATATGGTGTTATTTTTTTAAGGATGGACATTTTTACAAACTAAAATGTACTGTAGTTTTGCCGAAGACAGTAATGTCGGTGACAGAGTCTGCCTGGTAATAATGTACTGTGATTTTGTGTAGCATGTGTGGCACTTGTCTTCCCAAACAATCCCAAAGTGCCTTACGCACAGAAGACGACCCAATTATTCAGTTCAGTAATTAATTGAACTACTCACCTGCGTGATGGGCTGCAGGCCTTCTGCTCCAGAAGGCTGCAGATGATTTGGAAAAGATTAATTTATTCGTCCTCACCTCTGGCCCTGCCAGGCCCAGCCTTGCTGAGGTTCTGAGATCTCACAAAATAAGGTTATACATTGGTGATGGTTGCTATTAAGGCTTAGGCAAATAGTATGCTTATAGTGGTACGTGTTCAGAGCCTTTTAAAACATTTCATTTAAAAAGTGATTGCATTATCTTAGTTGAGTGAAACCATAGCAAAATCATGGAGTAATATTAGGAAGGACAAATGTAAAAAACAGATTAAAACCAACAGCACTCTTAGCATCAATATTTAACCATGCTAAACCTAAGGTAAAAAGACATTTTATCTCTTCAGTAACTGATTCAGAACTCAAAAGTGTGAGCTTATTGAGATATTGAGCTTATTGAAATTAGATAAATTAGTCTATTAGGATATTTCTCTTAAATTATATTTTATCTGAGAGGTTGGGTCTACTATTCACATTGTTCTTAATCCATTTAGTGTACAGTACCTTGTAAGATATAGAAGAAATAATTACTTCTCCTCATTACCAATGCAAAAACATGCAACACAGTTGCCACTGTTATTTCAGCTATCATGTGAAGCTCTCAAATTTCTAACTGATACTTTATCATATCATTACTTTATCATTACCCTCTCACAGTTAATTAGAAAACGTATTGTTATTAAAAATCCTTAAGAATGAAAAGAAATTGAAATCATGATTTTCATCTTGCACACGCCTCGGTATTGTTCACTCTCATGGCTGACGTACAGAATATGCTTTGTTTTATTTTCCCACATCTTTTTTACATTTTTACGCTGTGTGTTGAGGGTAAAGGAGCTTGAAACAGGTTTTACAACTTCAGTGCATGACTTGAATTTGCAAAAGGAGTTTGAATCTGGTGATGGGTTCCTTTGCCGATTTGTGTTTTTGGTTTGCATCATCTCTGTCGGCTCCATTCTATAAATCCTACACAGGAAGAAGTCAATGCAAAGAAATGGCAGTAATTGTTTTATAGACATCTCTCAGTATTGGTGTGCTTGCTTGCAGTTCCTAACAGAAACGCACTTGAGTACTTATTAGTCCTTTAAACAAGTGACTTCAAAAGCACTTTTGTCAACATAACACGGTATTACAAAAACACCAAAGAAAATTAATATCAATACAGTATTTAAATTATCTTAAAAACTCTGTGTAAAATAATGCAAATAACCAGACAGGATGGCGTTGTGCTACAAACATTGTCTGGAGAACTCTGGGGGCCAATCAAAGACCCGTTTTGTTGTCTGAGCACAAACAATGCATAAACCCTAAAGACAAAATAATAAGGAGCTTCAGTGCAGGTGAAACAAGGCTCATTATGTTTCATGTTCTGGTTACCATGATTTTACTCCCCTGAGCTCACTAAGACATTCATATGCCCAACATATGGTGTAGTGTTCAGCCTAGTTAGGGATGTCTGTATGTTTCTGAAAGAAAAAAAAAACTCTTTGAATCTAGAGTCCAACTAAGAACTGATGACTAAGAAGTGCTGTTACTTGGAGGTTTTTACAGAAAGAGAGCTTATGGTGTATAATGAGCTGGGCTTGGATGATAATCCAGTTTTTGTTTAGTGATTATCTATTTTTTACTTTTTTGAATATATCAATACTTAAAAATATGTATATTGTATTTAAATCACTGTAGCAAAAAAAATTCTGTGTACTGACACTGATGCTTAAACAAGGCTAGAATTTTTACAGCAGTCTCTTGGGCTGTGTGGATCAGACACACAAGAGGAATGCTTAAGATGTTGGCTTGGATTCACTGAGACAAAACAAATACAGTGACAGTATAGTGACAACCCAGATACCCAACCTAAAATACATAAAGCAGGAGGGCTTTATAGCCCCCGACAAGGTCACCTTGCCTATAACAATAGTCTCCCACAAACTATCCCATTGCACAACACCAACTGGCAGGCCGAGTCAGGAAAAGACTGCTATTTCAGCCAACTTTCTTTTAATAGATGCTGTTAAAAGCCTTGAATACTTTTGAGTACTGTAGGCATGCTTGAGGTGAATTTGGTAATTATTACTTAGCCGTAATAAGATAATTGGTGAAGGGTTGAGTGTCAGATTCTCATATGGTGATAATTAAGTCTGTGTGGTTAATAAAGATCTTCACAGTGGTAGCAGGTGTTTGGATTTATGGAGAATAAGCTTTGTATGTCCCAGAGGAGTGTATTCTGTAATGAATCTTCTTGACCTTACTTTCACAAGTCATTGTGAGTTGTAATATGCTCAGTCCCTGTCACATTCCAATGGTCTATTATCATAATGTAAGCATAAATCAGCTCTCTAGTACATCTAAGATACTATGTAATTCCACAGAACTCACATTTTTCTCTTCCTGTCAATGACATCTGAGGAATAATTTTTTCATGTTTCTACTCATGTGCCACAATTAAAAGCATTGACCTACAGTACATGCCATATCCATTATCCAAGAAGATAAATGAAAGGTTTTCATTGACTTCAAATACGAAATCTGAGATCATAAGGAAACCACCATCATGTGATTAGTCTGGTATTGATTATTGGTGAGAAGACGGAAGCTCTAAATTTAATGTCTTTGAGAGTTTAATAAACCTTAGCTAATTTCAGATTAGCAGACAAAAAATGTGACTTTAAACCTTGCTAGCTAAGACCTCGGACTATTTCAGTGAAGCCAACATGAGAATGTTTACATAAAGTACACAGACTATCTTCTACCTGAATGACAGTGAAAAATAATTCAATACAGAGAATGGAAATTACATTAATACTGATCCAATAAAAATACAACAGAAACGTTCCAGAAAGAGTTGCAAATTTCAAAGCTCAGCTTAGAAGTAAACATTTATGGGAAATCACACCTGAGTAGTCCAACTCGGGTTGTTGTTTATATTTCAAAAATACAAATTAACCTGGGTAATACGTTCTTTGTGAATCACTACATATGAATGGTCACCAGCGGCTCTGGGATTGAACACCATTTCTTTAGTTTTTTTTTATATTCAAAGTCAAGTCATGTTTATGTTTGTCACAGCAATGTTTGTCATTGTGGAGAATTACACGTTTTTTTCAGATGTTACACCACAGAACATGTCCATTTATGTTATACATTTTTTCAGCATTCATAAATATCATGAAGAATATCCAATTCAATTCTCACTTCTTCTGTTGCTAACTACTCATAAATGTTCACAGCTTCAGTATGTTTGGATTGTAATTCGACCTCATTCATAGACATTCCTCTTGAAAAGCCTCTGTATTTGGTACCACCTATACTTAATTCCATTCCTCCTTTTGTTTTCACAAACTATAGGAGTCAGTGTGACTCAGCGGAATGTATAGAAAGATGTCTATAAATACTGTAAGAAGAGGAGCCAGGCTCATTCCAAAGTGTGCAGCTAGTATTTCCAGAATGTTCACTAAATAATCTGTATAATAATGTTAATCAATAATATATAAACATAAATACATAATGAATGACATAATAAATAATGAGACCGTTCAAATGATCCTAAATCTACGGGCTATTATCCCTCTCTCTGCAAGATTTGTAAGGGTAGTAGTCTCCCAGCCTACAGTAGGTGTCAAGATGAATGGCTTAATTTCTTCCATGTTACACCCAGGAATAGTAATTGACAACATTTGTTAAAGTAATCTGATTTTACGTTGGCAAAGTCCAAACACAAAAATATTTTTTATCTGAACAGAATATTCATAAAACTAAAGTTTAACAGAGCAGATTTGTAATTTATATTAATATCATTCTCTGTCATTCACAGACTAATACTTAACAGCATTATCATGAACAACAATAATTTTCCAAAATGATACTGATTAATTGCTATGTAATCTACTACAATTTGCTTTGAAGCAAAAAGCCTTTGGCGTGACCATATTGATCTCTCCCAAACTGGGGTCGTGGTTCCTAAATGCAGGGGTGACCCACCTTAAACCAAATCTCATCAGGTCACTGGGGTCCCGCCACTCATATTACAGTACCTCTCCTTCAGCCTGTTACAATGCTACCCACACCTTCACAGACAGATAATGGGAGAGCGTTCAGAAAAGTCCTCTCAAAGGCCTTTGATAATAATAATAATAATAATAATAATAATAATAATAATAATAATAATAATAATAACTTTATCCATCACTTAAGGAGTTGCTCCTTTTTTATCCTGTGACAAAAGAAAATAGGGACTAACTTTTTTCTCTAATCTCATTGCAGTGGCACCCTACACAATTACATATTTCCCTTGCAGAGGTAAGTAAATCAGTAATATCATAGAATCAGATCAGTAATAATGTAATTATTACTGATCTGTAATAATAGTAATTAGCTACACTACACTTAGCTACACTTCCAGTTGTGCCAAGGAATTATTTTTTTTATTAAAAACACAAGGCAAGCAGGGAAGGTTTTAATTATACAACTGAAAAGGCTCTCAGATACAAAGGTGGATAGTTCTGGTTCACTCTGTAGATTGATCCAGTCATTAGTAGCAACATATTGAAAGCATCTGCACTCAAACACTGTATTTACACAAATTCAGTTTTCTGAAACGAACATATATTAGATTGTAGAGAACAGCGACAATTTATCAAGATATGAAAAAGTTCCACAATTAACAGTGTCTAAATCAATTTAAACCAGCGAAGCATCCATCTATGGAGCATTTCCATCCATGGAAGGAGTGCCAATAAATCAAAGAAGAATGATCACAATGATGAGTGCTATGGGCTCCATTAGTGATAAATCTACTGGCAGAATGGTATAACACATGAGGTTTTCCAAGAAGAGTCATACAGGCCATTACATACAAAACATCACCATAGTACAGGGCAGGAAGCAAAGATTTTGGAAAAAGTGTATACCTAGAGGAACATGTCAAAACAAGAATTGTTGTGACAAAGGAAACCAGGTTTAGACTTCTCTTAGCTTGTAATTCTTCAGTACAAATTTTGAAAGGTAAAGCACTGTCCAAACAGATGCCTTGATGTTTATAACCATGACTTGCTCCCACTTTTTTTTTTCTTAAAGTAAATATTTGGTGATTGTTATGGAAAAAACACACTTTGAATTATTTGTATGGTTATTTTTCCCAGCACTGAGTAGAAGATGCAGTTTTCAGAACACCTGTTAAATTTTATTGAATCAACAACCACTTTTACTCATAGTATCTCAGTGGAATGTTTTACAAATTATGTCTCTTAGCCTAGACGTAAATGGGGCTTTTTTTATAATTCTAACAGAACACCATCTTCTCAAGATACTGTAGTCTTTTCTAGATTTTTAAAATGGCTACCTATGTTGTGACAGGGCGCTGTGAGGCACTGAGGATTTTGCTTGCCGACCAAGGCCAGCCCTGGAAGGAAATTGTGGTTACTATGCAGGAATGGATGAAGGGAGACCTGAAAGCCAGCTGTGTGAGTTATGAGTACAGAGCTTATAAACTAAGGGAAACCGTTCAGCCTTGTTTGTCTGTTTCTTGTTGTTTCATCAGGGAGAAGATGCAGAGAAAGGATTTTGGATCCAAAGCATGGTTCAAAGTTGTTTTAGCATCACACAAAACAGGACCACCTATTGATCATTAATCTCACCCTGTGAACAGATACTCCCTCTACTCCCCCTTACCTTCTTCATATTTAATTTCCCTCATCTCCAAGATGTCACCTTTCCTTTCAAACTGAGGTGACGCCCACCTCAATTCCTGGGGTTTGACAGGATCATCGAGTTATCATTACATACGCTCTCTAACTTAATTGGTATAATTAGGGAAAATAACATTTCTGTTAAGGTCATAAAATATATGCATTGTATCTTGATCAAGTGCATGAAAATAATAATAATACCCCAATTATCTATTAATTTAATCAATAAATTAGGTGAATATAGATTTTAAATTGTTGTGCTCAAATGCTGCAGAAACATTTTATTAGGTTCGAGTCCATAATAGTGTAATCAAGATGAGCTGAGCTTGAATAGTCAGTCCTTCATCAAATATCAATGGCTATGTATCACAAACCTATAAGACTGTCTTTGTAAACTCTACTAATAAAACCAATATAATAAAACATGTTAATGATCTCAAATATAATAAAACATTAAATGCATTGTTCCAGGGCTTTGAAATACTTTTTCTAGCTGAGTGACCTGATTACTCTCATTTCACCTTTTGACTTTCAATTTACCATTTGATTCCGTATTTAACTTTCATTTCAATTATGTCTGTTAATGATAGAATTTTAAATAATTCATTTTTCAGCTGTTTGGCCAATTACCTAAATTTGAAGATGGAGATTTTGTCTTGTACCAGTCCAACACCCTGTTGAGATATCTGGGACGAAAACATGGTATGAGCTCAACTTTATTTTCTACACTCACTTTTTCACTCACTAATATTTGAGTACTTTTCTTTTCTTCTTTAATTAATTATATATATGAAATGCCTGCTCATATGCAGGTTAAATTCTTTTTGGCACTATTTTACTATAAGTTTGTATTTGTGAGTTTTCATTCCTAATAGCAATCATCTTTTTTCTCTTTGTGGTTCAGGAGCTTACGGAAAAGATGACAAGCAGGCTTCTCTCATTGATATGATGAATGATTCTGTTGAAGACATGCGTCTCAAGTACATGCGATTGATCTACCAGGAATATGTAAGTATATTAATGCAGACAAAACTATATTAGATGCTTTCCAGATTTCACAATTTTTTGTTCCTGAAGGCCTACAGTATATGCCCTAAGTCATGTATTTATACTTTTTATGTGAAAACTATCTTTATCTGGGATTCTCTTAGGGTAGTACTATGGTGTAATGGTAAGCAAGGTTGTCTTGCAGTCGTGGAGTCCCAGATTCAATTTCTGAGGTGCTAAAGTATCTGTGTGGATTTTGTAAGTTCTCCCTTTGTTTGTATTGGTTTACTGTGGGTGCTCTGGTTTCCTCCCGCAGTCCAAACACATTGACTCCTGGGAAAACTGGCCTGGTATGAGTGTGTGAGTGATTGGCTGTGTGTGTCCAGTAATGGAGTGGTGTATCCTGCCTTGTGCCCAAAACCTAAGAAAGTAATTTGCTGGGATAGCCTTTGGTTCTCATGTAACCATGAATTTGATGAAGGATTTAGAAAATAGATGGGATTCTTTTAGTGGAGATTAAGAGAATGAAGAACATTTAAGGGAAATGTATATATATATATTTTAAACGTTTGAGGTATTAAGGAACAAAACATGGTTTCAGGATTGATAGTCATTAATGTGATAGTCCAAGTCTAACTGTTAGGCTGCTACACATAATCTTAATGGGACAGAAATGCACTATGTATTCTGTTCTCATTGGTGTTATTTGTGTAACCACATTGATGTGGTCCTCTTTTACTCTTGATTTAAGGAGACTGGTAAGGAAAAGTACATTAAAGACCTGCCCAATGATCTCTCCAAATTTGAGAAGATCCTGTCCAACAATAAGGGAGGATTTCTAGTTGGTAACCAGGTACTGTAATTAGTCTTGCTTCACATTCTTGTGTTGTGTTTTAGATCCTGTTTACATATTCAAGAAACAATATGAAATACACAATACATGAAGGTTGTGCTTACGTGTGCTAATACTAAATCCCTTTCTACTTACTGTAGTTTTCTTTAAAAAAAGAGTGGCTTATTAAAAACACATTACATTTGCCCATAAAAACATTTTTAAATGTGAACATTTGCTTACAAAGCAAGGTTGCAGTTAATGCTATGCTAATTCTCTGTTTATGTGCTAGATTTCCTATGTGGATTACAATTTCATGGATCTGCTGCAGAATCTCCAGGTCCTTTCATCAAATTGTCTGGATTCCTTCCCCTCTCTGAAGAGCTATGTGGAGCGTCTTTCTTCCCGTCCCAAAATCAAGGCCTATCTGGAGACTGATGAGCACAAGAGGCGGCCCATCAATGCCAATGGCAAGCAGTGATGATCCTGACAGCTACAAGCAAACCACAATATATTATTTCAATTTGAATATGATAGCAGAACAATCTTAAACATACTGTTCTATGTATATTTTCTAGTGAAAATAAATGGCATATGAGTCATATAATGTTTGTTGTTCTGTCCTAGAGCTCTGAATGTAAGCCAGACCTGCACTTAAAAACCTTCTTAAAGCATAGTTTTAGTTGGTTCTGATGAGTTTGTGTATAGTCCTAATAGAGCTGATTAATTAGTTTGTTGCCTCTTGCTTAACACATCCTGTAATTTTTGCTTCTTTCCCACCATATCTTACTTATAACTGCCACACACATGAGTGCCTATAGCCAAAGAGAAAACAGCATTTCTTCTTTTTGTTTGCTGACAGCCCAGAGCTTGTTGTTTTGTCTGCTCATGGCAGCTGTCTGTCTGATAAAACGAACAGCCGCTCACCAAAAAACTTACTATATTTAAAAATCTATATTCTTCCTTATACAGACAGATTTGGTTGAAAGGAGTTAAACCTTGGATTGGCACTGGAAATTCCTCTAATGTTGAATATATATATAGGTATAAGACGATTAGTGTGGAAAAAAGTGATTGTAACTCTTTAGAATAGTAATTAAGATGTGGAGGTACAGTAGCATTTATTGTACTTTAGGAACCTGTCTTGCCAATATGGAATGGAATAGTCATCTAGTCATCTATCATTTTCCAATTTGAGGTCACAGGGTAGCCAGAGTCTATCTGTTGTGTAAAACTGGGGCAAAGGCAGGGTACATGTCACGATATTAGTTCCCCCTCCTTAAGGGTGCTCCAGCCCTATCACTCAAGACTTTATTCCATGCACCTGCTCCCTATTCCCTGCCCACCTTAAAAGCCAGGCGCTGACGCTCTTCCGGGCTCTGCATCTGATTTCCATTTCGTGCGAGTCCGGGACCTGGAAGCGCCTGGTCCCGTTCAGGTTTTAACCTCTACCCCTGTTCCTTGTCCCTGTCCGCCGGTTCCGACCCGGTCTTCGTGGTTTTTAATTCTTTGTTCTGATGGATCTCCTGGTTTTGGACTTACTCATGTGTTTTTGGATACTCTAAGGATTACTCTTTGGGATTGTTCGCCTCGGCCACGCCTCCCCCGTGCACCAGCGCACCTTGGACACGCCCCCCTGTCTTCAGCCCCGTTTTCCTGCATGACGTTTCCCCAGTGTCCCCCCACTTCGTCGGATTGTGTCGTCCGCATAGGGTCCGGAAAGAACTGTTCGTTAGTCCATCACAGGGCAGACAGATGCACACACTCAGACCAGAACCAATTTTCCCACAAGCCAATTAACCAACTAATTAACCAAGGCAGTAATAATAACCACTGCTAACAACTGTACCACCATGCTGCCCTGGATTTGTCATATTAGAGTCATTTTAATGGATATACTTTAACACTTTCTCAAGCATGAATTTTCTGATATATTTAATATATTTGGAATACTTTTATTTTCAGTGTTTTAATGGGGGTGTTCCTTTTGTCTAACATGTGGCAGGCATGCCGACATTTGATACTTATTTGCCAGAAGGTGTGTGTACATTAGAGCATTTTTTGCTGGAGATGAGCAACATATTTAAAGCAAGCGCAAAATGAAAAATACACGCAATAATGTATCATTTTGAATATCCTGTAATAGACAATTGTATGATGTTGTTTTGGTATTCTACCTCGCATGTAGCAACTTTGTGCAGTATACAGTATGTACATGCTATTTATATGGGCTAAGGGATCACTGCTTTTAAAACATTAAAGAAACATTATTAAAGAATTTAAACCTTTACTTGATATACAGTATATAGCTAATCTCTTTCCTGTCCCAGTATTTTAACAATATATTGAGTATAGCTAATTATAATGAATGAACGGCAAAGCTCCAAAGAAAGCAACAGAAAAAATAATAAATGGGGCTATAAATTACACATCCAACAGTACTGGTAATAAGCATGTTCATTACTGCCGTGAAGAAGTAGAGTAGCATAAATGTTAGCTTTTCATGGCATTTATTAATGATTATTGTTTTTCCAGGGAGTAAATGTTCATTATTAACTTATAAACAATTCCCATAAAACCATGCTCAACTCATATTCAACAAAAACTCTGAAACTCAAAAAAAAGTAAATGAAAAAATGCTCACAAAATAAATACTAGTCAAAATTACTAGTGAAATTTATAATCAAAATGTAAAATAAAAACAGTGCACTGGAAAGGGTCAGTAACTTCAAATTCCTTGGCGTCCATATTCCCGAGGACCTCACATGGTCTCTCAACGCCACCTGTCTGATCAAGAAAGCGCAACAGCGCCTGTACTTCCTAAGACGGTTGAAGAAGGCTAAGATATGTCCCCAGATCCTCACTAACTTTTACAGATGCACTACAGAAAGCACACTGACAGGTTGAATCACAGTGTGGGATGGCAGCTGCAGGATTGCTGACTGCAAAGCCCTACAGCAGGTGGTGAAAACTGCCCATTCCATCACTGGGGTTGCCCTCCCATCCATACAGGACATTTATGAGAGACTGCAAAGGAACAAGTAATAGGTTTATTCCATGCTGAAAAAAAGAAGAAAGAGAGCACAACGTTTCGGCCGTGGAGCCTTCTTCAGGTCAAGGTGACACCTGAAGGTGTTGACACCTGAAGAAGGCTCCACGGCCGAAACGTTGTGTTCTCTTTCTTCTTTTTTTCAGCATGGAATAAACCTATTACTTGTTCCATATATGCTTCTATATAATCTTATGAAGCACACTTAACTGTTCTTTTCATTGCTCATACCTTAACACATTTTTAAACACGTACAGTAAGTTGAGTACAATATCTCTAAAGTATCCTCATGAGGCGGTGCAGTAGGCTTGTGTCTTTGAGGCTGCTATCTGCCAACACCAAGACACCCCTTACAGGTTTGGAAAAAGATGATTCTGTATCATTAGACCAGCTGCAGCCCAGATATAAA